CCGTGTCCCCCCCCCTCTGTTCGCCCCCAGTTCAGAGAGCGGCGCTGCGGGGGGATTCGGGGAGGGGGCTCGGCAGGAGCTGGGGAGGGGTCCCGGCTGTCCCCGACGCTCCGTGCCCCCCCCGTGTCCCCCCGTGTCCCCTCTCCGGGGGGGCTCTGCTCTGTCCCCCCCGTGTGTCCCCCCCTCTGTTCTGCCCCAGAGCGGGGCGCGGCGCCGCGGGGGGATTTGGGGAGGGGTCCCGGCCGTCCCTGAGGCTCGGTGCCCGCCGTGCCCCCCAGGTGTGCGGCGTGGCCCTGGTCGCCATCGGCTCGTACGCGCTGCTGGCGCTGGGCAGGGCCCCGCTGGCGGCGGGGGGGGGCGCGGGCTGGGCCCCCGCCGCCCTGCTGGCCCTGGGGGTCGTCATCTTCTTCACCGCCTTCTTCGGCTGCTGCGGCGCCTGGAGGGAGAGCTACTGCATGGTCACCACGGTGAGGGGGGGGCTGCCCGCGGGACCCCCGGGGCGACCCCGGGACACCCCCGGGACACCCCTGAGACCCCCCGGGACACCCCCTGAGACACTCCGAGACACCCCAGACCCCCCGGGACACTCTGGGACACCCCCAGGGACACCCCCAGGACATCCTGGGACACCCCTGAGACCCCCTGGGACACCCCCCCGGGACAACCCTGAGACCCCCCGGGACACCCCCTGAGACACTCCGAGACACCCCAGACCCCCCGGGACACTCTGGGACACCCCCAGGGACACCCCCAGGACATCCTGGGACACCCCTGAGACCCCCTGGGACACCCCCCCGGGGCAACCCCGGGACACCCCAGACCCCCCAGACACCCCTGAGACCCCCTGGGGCACCCCCAGACCTCCTGGGACACTCCCCGGGACACCTCAGAACACCCCCGAGATCCCCCAGGACACCCCCAGACCCCCAGGACACCCCAGACCCCCAGGACATACCCGGGTCACCCCCGGGACCCCCCGGGACCCCCGTGAGCCAGCCTGACGTGGGGAACCCTCCAGGACCCCCCAACCCAGCCCTTTGTGCCGCCGCCATCGCCGGCTACGTCTTCAAGGACAAGGTGGGGGTCCCTGCCCGCACCCCGGGGGTCCCCGGCCCCCCAGCCCCCCCGGGGGTCCCTGCCGCCCCCCGTGACGCCCCTGCCCCCCCAGGTGCACGGGCTGGTGGAGGAGGGGCTGCGGGAGGCCGTGAGGAGCTACGGCGAGGAGCCGGCGCTGAGCGCGGCCCTGGACGCCTTCCAGCACGAGGTGAGCCTGGGGGCACCCCCGAATTGGGGAGGGGGCTGCTCCTGGAGCCCTCCCCGCCCTCGCTGACCCCCTTTCCGGGCAGTTCTCGTGCTGTGGGGTGGATAACTACACGGACTGGGCCAGCGTGGAGCCCTTCAGGGCCAACGACTCCGTGCCCAGCTCCTGCTGCCGCCAGCCCGGCCCCGGCTGCAACGTCCGGCCCAGCCCGGCCACCGTCTTCAGCAGGGTGAGACCCCTCCCCAGTTGCTCAGCCTGCCCCTCCGGGGGGCTCCCCGAGCCCCCTGACCGCCCGTGCCCCCCCTCCCAGGGCTGCCTGCCGAGCCTCGAGGCCTGGCTCAGGAGGAACGTGCTGGTGCTGGCGGCCGTGGCGCTGGGCATCGCCTTCGTCGAGGTGAGACCCCCCCCAAAAGGGGGCTGGGACCACCCAGAATGGGGATAGGACCCCCCCCAAATGTGGGCTGAGACTCTCCTGAATGGGGGCTGAGAGCCCCCCAGAATGGGGGCTGAGATCCCCCCTGAAAGGGCTGGAACTCCCCCCAAAATGGGGGCTGGGACCCCCCGGAATGGGGGCTGAGACCCCTCCTCAGTTTGGGGCTGAGACCCCTCCGGAATTTGGGGCTGACTGACCCCCCCCCTCCACAGTGTCCCTGTCCCCGTTGTCCCCATCCCTGTCCCTGTCCCCAGTGTCACTGTCCTTGTCCCCCCAGTGTCCCTATCCCCACCGTCCCTGTCCCCACCGTCCCTATCCCCAGTGTCCCCGTCCCTGTCCCCACTGTCACTGTCCCCATCCCCATCCCCGTCCCCATCCCTGTCCCCATTGTCACCGTCCCTGTCCCCCCCAGTGTCCCATCCCTGTCCCCATTGTCACCCTCCCTGTCCCCATTGTCACCGTCCCTGTCCCCTGTCCCTGTCCCCTGTCCCTGTCCCCCCATTGTCACCATCCCTGTCCCCAGTCCCTGTCCCCACTGTCACCGTCCCTGTCCCCCCAGTGTCCCTGTCCCCAGTGTCACCCTCCCTGTTCCCAGTGTCCCTGTCCCTGTCACCGTCCCTGTCCCCTGTCCCTGTCCCCACTGTCACCGTCCCTGTCCCCTGTCCCTGTCCCCCATTGTCACCGTCCCTGTCCCCTGTCCCTGTCCCCGCTGTCACCATCCCTGTCCCCTGTCCCTGTCCCCACTGTCACCGTCCCTGTCCCCCCAGGTCCTGGGCGTTCTCTTCTCCTGCTGCCTCATGCGGGGGATCCGCAGCGGCTACGAGGTCATGTAGCCCCCGCCCCGAATTCCTGCCCCCCGGGGGTCCTGGGGGGTCCCAGCAGTGCCACCCCCACCCCCGGGGGTCCTGGGGGGCTCTGGGGCCCCCCTGGGTTTGCAATAAAGGAAAAGCTTCTGGAGAGCTGAGAGTGACTGGGGGGGTCTGGGGGGACCCTTTGGGGGGTCCCTTTGGGGGTCTGGGGTCCCTTTGAGGGGTCTGGGGTCCCTTTGGGGGTCTGGGGTCCCTTTGAGGGGTCTGGGGTCTCTTTGAGGGTTGGGGGTGTCTTTGGGCTGGGGGTCCCTCATGGGGGGGGACAAGGACCCTCGTGGGGGTTGGGAATCCCTCATGGGGTTGGGGTGTCTTATGGGGTTGGGGGGCTCCACCCGGGAGTTTTGGGGTCCCCCTGTGACCCTGTGGGGCCGGGGACTGCTCCTGGTGGCTCTGGGGGCTCCGTGTGCCACCTCCATGTCCCCAAATCCTCACGTGCCTCCTCAGTGTCCCCAAATCCCCCCCCGAGCTGAGCACAACCAAGGATGGGAGAGTTTGGGGCATTTATTCCCCACCCCTGGGGGGTTTAATTTGGGTCTGGGGGTTTCATTTGGCTCGGGGGTCTCTCAGCGGCTGCTCTGGGCTGGCCGGGGCAGGATGAGGGCCAGGGCCATGTCCGTGATGCCCCAAGTGCCACCTCAGTGTCCCCAAATCCCCTGAACTGAGCGAAAACAAGGATGGGTGAGTTCAGGACATTTATTACACCACCGCAGGGAGGTTTAATTTGGGTCTGGGGGTTTCATTTGGCTCGGGGGTCTCTCAGCGGCTGCTCTGGGCTGGCCGGGGCAGGATGAGGGCCAGGGCCATGTCCGTGATGCCCCAAGTGCCACCTCAGTGTCCCCAAATCCCCTGAACTGAGCGAAAACAAGGATGGGTGAGTTCAGGACATTTATTACACCACTGCAGGGAGGTTTAATTTGGGTCTGGGGGATTTAATTTGGGCCGGGGGTCTCTCAGCGGCCGCTCTGGGCTGGCCGGGGCAGGATGAGGGCCAGGGCCAGGTCCACGAGCGCCGAGGGCAGGTAGGAGGCCGGCAGCCAGAGCAGCTTGGCGTCCCAGCCCGCGCTGTAGCGGCTGCGCGGGTGGCGCGCCCGCAGCGCGTGCTCCATGCAGCTCGTCACCTTGGCCAGGTCCGGGTCACACAGCAGCGACAGCAGCAGCCGCTGCACGCGCAGGTCTGCGGGCACGGCACGGGCACAGGTCAGGGGACAGGGGGACACGGCACGGGCACAGGTCAGGGGACAGGGACAGGGGGACACGGCACGGGGCACAGGTCAGGGGGGACAGGGGGACACGGGGGGACAGGG